AGCTGCAGGTGATGCCATTAGCATTTTTGTGGGGAATATGCCCCTTAATCTTTCTAACCCAAATAACTCCTTTCATATTCAGTTATATCGAAATACCTCCTGATATATTATTGCTTGTGTCTGTAAGCCCTACCTATAATTAGCAGGGAATTTGACATGGGATAATGATATGGGGATTGTTAATTGTACAGATACGTGTACATTTTTGTCTTGCCTCAATCATTCCTGGTGGCACAACTTTACTGAGGATATTTATATCCTCAGGGCTCGTAAGGAAATTTGGCTGCCTGTTAACCTTACGCGACCATGGGGGCATCACCTCTTGAGACTTATATTTGAACTTCTCTCCAGCGAACCCTCCGTGCCCTTGGACTTATAATTGCCTCGGTGATGAGCCTTGTCGCCATCGTCTCCACTGCGGCCGTAGCAGGGCTCGCTCTTCGTCAAAGCATACAAAATGCTGAATTTGTGCAGCAATGGCACGAATAATCTCACCGGTTATGGCTTCAACAACGAAACATTGATTCTCAACTTGCTGAAAGATTGGACAACATGGAACAAGCCTTGACATGGCTTGGAGATCAGCTCACTGTCCTCAGTACTCGGATAACATTACAATGTGATTGGAACTCCACTCAATTTTGTGTAACGCCTGTGCTTTTTAACATCTCTCAAAATTGGACCGTAATCCGAAAATTATTAATAGGCCATAAAAATATTAGTTTGGACATCCAAGAGCTCACTCAGGACATTTCTGATGCATTTCGACAACAATTACGTGTGTTGTCCGGAACTGTAACCCTTCAGGAGCTGGGTCAGCGCCTTGCTGCCTTTAACCCATGGACCCAGATGAAGACATGGATTTCTACATCTCTGGAAGTATATTGCTTTGGGCACTTGGATTGGGTCTACTTCTTTTGGTGATTCGATGCTCCCTCCGTCGCCTCCAAAAACAAAAGAAAACACAAGAACAAATATGGGCTACCTTTTTAGGATTGAGGCAAAACAAAAAAAAAAGGGGGGGAAATGCAGGGGCCTTTGAAAACACTATGCTGAGAATAGATAGGGCTCAAGGACAATATCTCCAATTGAACTTTTAATGAACTCCCGTAGGCGCCAAGAAGGCGGGCAGATAAAGAAGAGCATAGAAACAAAGAACTGAGTAGAAGGTTACATCTGGGAAAAGAAAGTTTGTTTTGCATTGCATTCTTTCTGCTGACGTGGGGTTTATGGAGTATAAATAAAGTGAGGCGGAGGCTCTGAGCGTGGCCGCCATGTTTTCTGTGTGTCTTTGTCTTTTGTGTGTTCTTTCATTCTCCACCACCCCCGGCACGGACCCCAACACATTGTGTCCCTGGTTAACCGAGAATGGAGAATGGCAATGACTTTTACCAAGCATACTGCCTGCAAACACATATTTAACAAAACACATCCTGCACAGCCTTAAATCCATTAAACCTTGAGTCAATATAGCACATGTTTCTGTGAGCACAGGGTTGGGGCTAAGGTTACAGGTTAATAGTATCTCAAAGCAGAAGAATTTTTCTTAGTACAGATCAAAGTGCAGTTTCTTATGTCTTCCTTTTTCTTTTCTTTTCTTTTTTTTTTTTTTTTTTTTTTTGAGATGGAGTCTCGCTCTGTCGCCCAGGCTGGAGTGCAGTGGTGCGATCTGCTCACTGCAAGCTCCACCGCCTCCCAGGTTCACGCCATTCTCCTGCCTCAGCTTCCCAAGAAGCTGGGACTACAGGCGCCCACCACCACACCCGGCTAATTTTTTTTTTTTTTTTTTTTTTTTTGTATTTTTAGTAGAGACAGGGTTTCATCGTGTTTGCCAGGATGGTCTCGATCTCCTGACCTCGTGATCCACCCGCCTTGGCCTCCCAAAGTGCTGGGATTACAGGTGTGAGCCACTGTGCCTGGCCATGTCTTCGTTTTTCTACATAGACATAGTAACAGTCTGATCTCTCTTTTCCCTACACAGAAGACAGAGAAAATGTATTTACAAATTTTCTAAATAAAAGTCCTAAGGAAAGAGACAAAAAAAAAGTTTTTTTTAATTTTCAAAGCAAATTATACCTCTCATTTATTTCCTTCTTTGTTTGAGACAGGGTCTAGCTCTGTCACCCAGGCTGGAGTGTGGTGGAGAGATTAGAGCTCACTGCAGCTGTGAAATCCCTGGCTCACGTGATCCTCCCACCTCAGCACCCCAAGCAGCTTGGACAACAGGCGTGCACCACCACACCTGACGCATTTTTTGATTTTTAATAGAGACGACGTCTCACTACGTTGCCCAGGCTGATCTCGAACTCCTGGGTTCAAGTGATCCTCCCGCCTCAGCCTCTCAAATTGCTGGGATTACAGGTGTGAGCCACAGCTCCGGGCCCTGATTTTATTTCCACGAAATATGAAATTATCCTCCACCTTCTGGGTGTAATAGGCAGTTTTGCATGTCACCTTTCAGTTTCCATTATCCATTTAAACAACCCAGGACCTTGCTTAGTTTAATAAGCCGTTCTGTCAGTCCTCGCTGCAACCAGCGCCCCACTCCACCCCTTTACCGAGGTCCCTGCCCCTCTCCCCCACCCTGCCCCAGACTGAGGGGAGCTTGCCCCACCTGCAGGACGCGCGACTCTACCTTCTCAAAAAAGACGCTTTGCATTAAAACCATTTTCAATTTAAGAGGAAAAAGCATTCAGCGTTCAGTACACGTGGTCTACTACAGAAGCAGTTTCACCTTCCATTGTTTGAAATGTTAAAAGCGGGAGGAAGCATCCATGTGATATTAGGGTAGCATCACGGCACAAGAGAATGAATCCACCAATCAGAACCCGGAGGATCTGGTCCTAGAGGGAGAGGATGACAGCTGGCGAAGTCCATGGCCCAGCTGAGGAGAAAGCTCCAACCCGCCTCCTCCAGACCTGGCCCTTTATAACCACCCACCTTCCAGAGCCCTCCCCCTTGAGGGCGATAACCCTCTAGCCTAGCCTGCTGTCCGGCCCCGACCAGCCCAGCACCCTGGCAACCTCCTCCTTCTTGCCTCGTCCCCAGCCTCTAACCAGGCCCCGCACCCACAGTGGCCTCCACTCTCTCGCCCCGCCCCAGCATCTATTCAGGCCCCGCCCCCTCAGCAACATTTTCCCCTCCTGCCCTGTCCCAGCTTGGTGTCCAGAACCCTCCCAGACAGGATCCACTACCAGCCCATGGTTGTTCTGCACGGAGAGCCCAGGACTGACTCAGGTGAGCGTTTGTTTCTGTTTCAAACTTGCCTTTCGTAGCGCCCTAGCCCCCCAGTCCAGCCACACCAGGAATTTGGGTGCGTCGGTATGTTTATTTCCTTCTTTGTTTGAGATGGAGTCTCGCTCTGTCCCCCAGGCTGGAGTGCAGTGGCGCGATCTCGGCTCACTGCATGCTCCGCCTCCCGGGCTCACGCCATTCTCCTGCCTCAGCCTCTTGAATAGCTGGGACTACAGGGGACCACCGCCACGACCGGCTAATTTTTTGCATTTTTAGTAGAGAGGGGGTTTCACCGTGTTCGCCAGGATGGTCTCAATCTCCTGACCTTGGGATCCACCTGCCCCAGCCTCCCAAAGTGCTAGGATTACAGGCGTGAGTCACCGCGCCTGACTTTTTTTAATAAAATGTTTCACATATTACCAAACCCAGCCAACCAATGCACTCATAACAGATTCAGAGATTAAAAAATATATTCTCGATAAAACATGTCCAACTCTTCAGATAGGGATGACATTTTCAGCTTGATATGGTAACGTGACTGTGACCTTATTAGCAGTTTTTATGCGAATCCACTGGGGAATAGAACAATTTTGCTTTTGTTTCTTGGCCAAGACTCACCTAATTCTGAAAGTCTTGTGAGAAGACATGGCAAGAAGCGAAATCAAGCACACGCTATGATGACGGAGACAGGAGAAGGGGCTTGGCTTTTTCTTTTTTTCAGACTAAGTTTCTTTCTTTGCTCCCAGACGGGAATGCAATGGTGCGATCTTGGCTCACTGCAACTTCCGCCTCCTGGGTTCAAGTGATTCTCTTGCCTCAGCCTCGCGAGTAGCTGGGTTTGGTCAAAATATAAACTAGAAAGGCAGGAACGTGGCCAAAGGTGGGGAACATGAGTGTTATTACCATATTCCTGCTTGACCTTTACTGCCAACGCCAACACAAATGGTCAGAGGTCCCTTATGTGAAAATCTTCATGATCTTGTGGGAAAACCCTGATTTTTGTAAAGGCTGCAAAATAGGCTCAAAAATAAATAAATAAATAAAATTTTAAAAGGGCCAGTTGCAGTGGCTCATGCCTGTAATTCCACCACTTTGGGAGGATGAGGCAGGTGGATCAGCTGAGGTTAGGAGTTCAAGACCAGCCTGACCAACATGGAGAAACCCCCTCTCTACTAAAAATACAAAAATTAGCCAGGCATGGTGGCAGTCACCTGTAATTCTAGCTACTCAGGAGGCTGAGGTAGGAGAATTGCTTGAACCCAAGAGGCAAAAATTGCAATGAGCTGAGATCACACCACTGCACTCCAGCCTGGGTAACGAGAGCAAGACTCCATCTCCAAACAAAAAAATAAAATAAAATAAAAAATAAATACATAAAAATACAAAAATTAGCGTGGTGTGGTGGCATGCATCACTATTCACAGATACCCAGGAGGCTGAGGCAGGAGAATTGCTTGAATGCAGGAGGAGGAGGTTCCAGTGAGCCGAGATCATGTCATTGCATTACAGCCTGGGGGATAAGAGCAAGACTCCATCTCAAAAAATAAAGATAAAAATAAAAAACAGGCTGGGTAAAGTGGCTCAAGTCTATTGGCCAGGCTGGTCTCAAACTGCTGACCTCAAGTGATCTACCTGCCTTGGTCTCCCAAAGTGCTGGGATAACAGGCATGAGCCACTACGCCTGGCCCATTCTTCTTAACATTAACACTTTTTATGTCAATTAATGCTTGAACTCAATGTTAAGTCAACTCAAACTCAAGTCAAAGTTGAATTGACTCTAATGTCAATTAAAGCTTTATGATTGTTTATATTCATTTTATTTGGAGTAATTGTCTCAAAAATGAATTTTCTGATGTTCTGCATGGAATGACCACAGACTGAAGACCTTGCCACCCTTATGACATTGGTAAGATTTCTGTCCAGGATGGATTCTCTGATGTCTACATCATGGATTCGCTGATGAACTACAAGTTATGAACGATGTCTGAAAAATTTGCCACATTTATTACATTTGTAGATCTCACTTCACTATGGATTCTCTAATGATTTTCAATGACTGTAGCATTATTGAGGACTTTGTGAGAATCATTATATTTGTAAAGTTTCCCTACACCATGGATTGCTTGGTGGTGAGTAAGTGTTGACTGCCTAGTAAAGGCTTTGCCACATTCATTACACTTGTAAGGTTTCTCGCCAGTATGAACTATCTGATGTTTTGCAAGGTTTGTTTTTTGATTAAAAACCTTGCCACATTCATTACACTTGTAAGGTTTCTCTCCAGTATGAACTCTCTGATGTTGTGCAAGGCTTGTTTTTTGATTAAAAACCTTGCCACACTCATTACACTTGTAAGGTTTCTCTCCAGTATGAACTCTCTGATGTTGTGCAAGGTGTGCTTTTTGATTAAAAACCTTCCCACATTTATTACACTTGTAAGGTTTCTCTCCAGTATGAACTCTCATATGGTTTGCAAGGTATGAATCACTCCGGAAAGCCTTGTCACAAACCTTACATTTGTATGGTTTTTCTCCAGTGTGAATTCTCCTATGTCTTTCAAGGTGTGATTTGCGACTGAAAACTCTGTCACATTCTTTACATTTGTAAGGTTTCTCTCCAGTATGAACTCTATGATGACGTGCAAGGTTTTCTCTTCTACTAAAAACCTTGCCACATTCATTACATGAGTAAGGTTTCTCTCCAGTATGAAGTGTATGATGGTATTGAAGGGATGACTTCCGACTGAAACTCCTGCCACATTTATTACACTTGTACGGTTTCTCTCCAGTATGAACTCTCTGATGTACTGCAAGGTATGAATCACTCCGGAAAACCTTGTCACAAATCTTACATTTGTATGGTTTCTCTCCAGTATGAATTCTCCTATGTCTTTCAAGGTGTGATCTGCGAATGTAAACCTTGCCACATTCTTCACATTTGTAAGCTTTCTCTCCAGTGTGAAGTCTATGATGGCACTGAAGGGATGACTTCTGACAGAAGGTCTTGCCACACTCATTACACTTGTAAGGTTTCTCTCCGGTATGATTTGCCTTATGAATTACAAGGGCTGAATGTCGACCAAAGGTCTTGCCACACTCATTACACTTGTAAGGTTTCTCTCCAGTATGAAGTCTACAATGGCATCTAAAGAATGACTTCTGACTGAACGTCTGGCCACACTCATTACACTTGTAAGGTTTCTCTCCAGTATGAAGTCTATGATGGCATACAAAGGATAACATCTGAGTGAAGGTCTTCTCACACTCATTACACTTGTAAATTTTCTCACCAGTGTGACATTTATGATGACAGGCAATGTATTGCTTCTGATTAAAAACCTTGCCACAGACATCACATTTATATTGTTTCTCTCTTGAATGGGTTATGTGATGTCTCCTTAAGAGTGAGCTATAATTAAAAGCTTTGCCACACCCATCATTTTGGCAAGGTTTTTCTCTCACGCATGTTTCCTGTATTTGTGTGGATAATGAGGAATGGAGGAAATTCTTCCCATACTTATTAGAAATATGAGTTTTGAGCCTACCAGAAATTCTCTGGGATGTCGAAGCTGAGGAAGCACCACTGACAGACTTGTCCACTTGGTTACTAATTTTCCCTTCGGTCAGAAATATGCGCAGTTCGGGCAGATGCGAATGAAAGCTTGATCCAAGCTGATCTTTAATAGGCTTGTTTCCAGCATGCCTTTGAGTATGTCGGTCTGTACTACCTGTCAACTCTTTATTTTCTGTCACAGGTGCTTCATGGCCATTTCTTTCAACTTCTTGCCACTGAAACTCAAAGTGATGAATATCTTTCTTGATTTCTGGGAGGCAAAAATCTCCAATGTGATAACTTTTATGTCTTTCCAATGTCCCTGTGTGGAACCCTTCTCCTGTATTACTGTGCTCATGTGATGAGAACTCCATCATGGATTTTAAAGAGCTATCTAAAAAATATAAAGACCAATAGTTTTCCAAATAAGTACAGATGGTAAATAATAGTTAATATTGAAATGTGTAAAAATTACACAAAAAGCAATACTTATTTTAAACTTCCCAAATGTGATCTTCAAAGTTTAAGAACACCTTGTCTCAACTGAACATAAAAAAATTAGCCAGGTGTGGTGGTGGGTGCCTGTAATCCCAGCTACTCAGGAGGCTGAGGCAGCAGAATTGCTTGAACCCAGGAGGCAGAGGTTGCAGCGTGTGGAGACCACGACATTGCACTCCAGCCTGGGCAACAAGAGCAAGATTCTGTATAGAATAAAAAAAAAAAAAAGAGTTCAGTCAAGAGCCTCATATATATGAGGCACTAAGCCTGAATTATTTCCTCGCTAGGAGGAATTTCTACAGCAGTGACTGCTACTTACAGAAGATGACCATTAGTTTATGTGATGAACACTGTCACAGTGCCAGCGAGAGACGCTTCTGTGATGGTTCTCAAAAACCAGAACGAAAGGCCAAGTGTGGTGGCTCACGCCTGTAATCCCAACACTTCGAAGCTGAGGTGAGCGAATTGCTTGAGGCCAGCAATTCAAGACCAGCCTGATCAACATGGTGATACCCTATGTCTAATAAAAATACAAAAATCATCCAGGTATGAAGGCATATGCCTGTAATTCCAGTTAGGTTGAGAGGCTGAGGTACAAGAATTGCTTGAACTCAGGAGGCAGACGTTGCAATAAGCTGAGATCAGACTCTGCACTCCAGCCTGTCCAACAGAGGAAGACTGTCTGAAAACAAACAAAGAAAAAGAAAACAAAACCAGAACTACAGCTGGAAACACTTGTCAATCAGTGTCAGTGTCATGCTTTCTATCTCATATCCTGGGTCATGCTGACAATTCTGCTCAGGGCTTCCAGGAACATCTCTTCCTAGAGCAGGATGATGTTCAACTATATTAGTCAAAGTGCTCACGAATTTTCTGTTTTTATGTAAAACCACTCCACAGGACAGTCTCTAAGAAGCTACCCATGACAGATAGGAGGGTCATCACTGCAGAAAAGAATGACATGTACATCAAAAGCATGTATGGGGCAAAATCACAAAAGAGCATATAAAACCAGAAAGAGCCAAGATAGACAAGAGCAGACTCCTCATGTCTGAAGGGACATTTTCCTCACCCACAAACTCCAGGTTCCTGTAGTTCTCCAACATCACTTCCCTGTATAAAGCCCTCTGTGCAGGGTTTAGGCATTTCCACTCCATGAAAGAGAACTCTATAGCCACATCCCTGAAAGTCAAGCGTCCCTAAAATAAAAAACACATTTCAACAAAACATTGTGAAGGAGTATGTTATCGCCCTCAAGTGAAATGAGAAAAGAGAAAATAAGTATTGATTTGATCCAAGACTGTGTTCTGACAAATTCACATTAAGGTATTTTTGAGCAATTTTTCTGTATAGTTGCATTTTATTGTACTTTTTCAGGATAGCTTTTAAAATCCCTTAAGTCACTATGGAAGTCTCAGTTTTACGGACAATATAAAAAAATATATGGCCTGACACGGTGGCCCATGCCTAAAATCCCAGCACTTTGGGAGACTGAGGCAGGTGGATTGCCTGAGCTGAAAAGTTCAAGACCACCCAGGACAACATGGCGAAACACTGTCTCTACTAAAAATACAAAAAAAAAGAAAAAAAAAAAAAACAGGTGTGGTGGTGCAGGCCTCTAGTCCCAGCTACTTGGGAGGCTGATGCAGGAGAATAACTTGAGAACAAGAGGCGAAGTTTGCAGTGAGCCAAGATTGTGCCATCGCACTCCCAGCTTGGGCTGCAGAGTAAGACTCCATCTCAAACAATATATATATCTATATATAATATAGATATTTTATATATATAGATATTTTATATATATATAGATATTATAATTATAGATATTATATATATATGTATTTCTATACAAATATATAATATTAAATATATTATTAAATAAATATATATTATACATATTATATATATACACATATATAAAATAAGTCTAGGCATGGTGGCTCACACCTGCAATCCCATCACTTTGGGAGACCGAGGTGACTGGACCACTTAAGGTCAGGAGTTTGAGACTAACCTCTCCAACATGGCGAAACTCCGTATCTACTAAAAATAAAAAAATTGGCTGGGCATCGTAGGGAGGTGCCAGTAATCCCAGCTATCTAGGAAGCTGAAGCAGGAGAATCGCTTGAACTCTGGAGACAGAGATTGCAGTAAGCCAAGATCACACCACTGCAATTCTGCCTGGGCAACAGACTGAGACTCTTTCCCAAAAAAAAAAAAGAGTGTGAGTGTGTGTGTGTGTGTGTGTGTGTGTGTGTGTATATATATATATATATATATATATATTATGTATTATCTACATAAAGTGTGGGATTGGCTGCACACGGTAGGTCACACCTGTAATCCCAGCACTTTGGGAGGCTGAGGCGGGTGGATAACCTAAGGTCGGGAGTTTGATACCAGCCTGAAGAATATGGACAAATTCTGTCTCTAGTAAAAATACAAAGTTAGCTGGGAATGGTGGCGCATGCCTATAATCCCAGCTACTTGGGAGTCTGTGGCAGGAAAATCACTTGAACCTGGGAGGCGGAAGTTGCAGTGAGCCGATACTGTGCCACTGCATACCAGCCTGGGCCACAAGAATGAAACTCCATCTCAAAAAAACACAAACAACAATAACAAAAAAGAAATGAAACAAAACTGTCAAGGACTCACATGTCTTCATTCAGAGAAAGCTCCAAGGAAGATTTAAAAGAGCAAGCTATCTTGTTTTCTACCTTGGAAACATGAACATTTTCAGAACTTGCAGGATAAAATACCATGACAAAACACTCATCAGGCCGGGAGCAGGGCTCATACCTGAAATCCCAGAACTTTGGGAGGCTGAGGCAGAAGGATCACTTGAGGCCAAGAGTTCGAGACCAGCCTGGTCAACATGGTGAAACCTCATCCGTACTAGTAACACAACAATTAGCCAGGAGTGTAGCACGCATCTGTAACTGCAGCTACTCAGTTGGTTGAAGCATAAGACTCAAGTGAACCTGAGAGTCAGAGGTTGCAATGTGTCTCTACACTATATGCGGGTGACAGAGTGAGGCCCTGTCTCAAAAAACATGCAAAAAAAAAAACAAAACACCCCATTCATCAAATAATTTTTTCTAAAATCTCATAACCGTGTATGAATACATTTCTAAAGGTTTGTGCTGACTTGCCACAGAACCCTCAACAGTGATTCTCCACTGAGACATGGGAATGGGTGGAAGGCTGGACTGGAAAGGGGATGCATAAGTGTATTTTTCTTTGGACTTTTACTACACAATACATATATACATCATGTGGTGTTTAAAATAAAAGAATCAGCCAGGCGCGGTGGCTCAAGCCTGTAATCCCAGAACTTTGGGAGGCCGAGACGGGTGGATCACGAGGTCAGGAGATCGAGACCATCCTGGCTAACACAGTGAAACCCCGTCTCTACTAAAAAAATACAAAAAAACTAGCCAGGCAAGGTGGCGGGCGCCTGTAATCCCAGCTACTTGGGAGGCTGAGACAGGAGACTGGCGTAAATCTGGGAGGTGGAGCTTGCGGTGAGCTGAGATTCGGCCACTGCACTCCAGCCTGGGCGACAGAGCCAGACTCCGTCTCAAAAAATAAATAAAAAAATAAAATAAAATAAAATAAAAGAATCATTTAATAATAATGGGTAGAAAAAGAATGACTCCATCCTCTCTAACGAAATAAGTTGTGCTGTATGTCACAGCAAACTTATAATCATTTTGACCCAAAATGCTTGCATCAGAGTCCCTGTTAAAAAAAAAAAAAAAAAAAAAAAAAAAAAAAAAAAAGGCTCTGTGGGGTCAAAGTGCTGACAATGATTTAAAGAATTCCCTGCAGTTAGATATTTATATTGATTAAATAATTTGAAGTCAATGATGGAATAAAGCTAACTCTATCACTGATATCTATATCAGCTTTCCATTCTATTCCAAGACATTGAAAGTGCAGAGTCTTGCTGGGCTGTCTCACACCTGCAATCCCAGCAATTTGGGAGGCTCAGGTGGGAGGACCACTTGAGCCCAGGAGTTCGAGGCTGCTGTAAACTAGAATTGTGCCATTGCACTCCAGACTGGGCCCCAGAGTGACACCCTCTCTCTTAAAACAAAAGTTTGGTGTCAGAGACATATTGACTCACTAGTGTAGCTTCAAATGCATTACAAAATCAGACACAAAATATCTCCCCTAGTTTGCCTCCTTTTCCAGAATTTACCAGATACCAATGAACATTAACGTACAAATTTTTTTTTTTTTTTTTTTTTTTGAGAGGAAGTTTCGCTCTGTCGCCCAGGCTGGAGTGCAGTGGCATGATCTCAGCTCACTGCAAGATCTGCCTCACAAGGTCATGCCATTCTCCTGCCTCAGCCTCCTGAGTAGCTGGGATGACAGGCACCCGCCACCACGTCTGGCTAATTTTTTTGTATTTTTAGTAGAGAGGGGGTTTCACCGTGTTAGCCAGGATGGCCTCAATCTGCTGACCTCGTGATCTGCCCTCCTAGGCCTCCCAAAGTGCTGGGATTACTGGCGTGAGCCACTGCACCTGTCGATGTATGACTTTCATATACAGTTTCTCTAATATGGTCCAGAAAGAGCTAAATGTGCATCCAGATGTGGGCTCTGAACAATCCTTGCTGCCCAACATCACCGACAGCACGGGGTCAACAGCCCATCTCCATCCATGTCTGGTGTGAGCCCTTCCCAGGTCCACGCCTAGTGGAGCCTCTTCCCAAGCTCATGTCACTAGTTTATAGGAGATAGAATTTAAGTGAAGATAAGAGGAATAGAGAAAAGGCATGGGTGAGTGCGAGCAAACCTGTGAGTTAGAATGCTTCACACTCAGAGAAGATTGGCTACTACAATACCTGGCACTTCAGAAAGCAGATAGAAGAATCCACCAAGGAATATCACTCACCTGAGGAGGAGCCATCCCTGGATACTTTTCTTTGCTCTTCTTGGTGGCTTCCTCATGTAACATGAGGCTTTGGAAATCCTGTATGTGAAAAAAAATAAGAGATTTAATATTTAGAAACCATTCCCTCCTTTCTTGTGACAAAACACACACATGGGGGAGACCTCACCCGGGAGAAAGATGGTCCTCTGCTGCCCACTGCACCAGAGATCATGCAGAGATAAGAAAGTTCCACAGGAAGACCTACAAGGCTAATTTTGACCTTTCAGATATTGCTCCCCTCCTGGAAAAGTTCACACACACGCACACACTGCAGCAGGATACAGATCTTCAGGCCACAGATCTAGCCCTAACCAAATCCCATGCAGAGCACAGCCCCCTCACCTCCCTGTGGATCACAGGCTGATCTCAGCTGTCAACATGGAGGAAACTGCCGTGATACTTAATGCTGGACACAGACGAGGACCACCAGCGCCATTGTAAGTATTATTGAGTGTGGGTCCCATCCTATGGTAATAGCAATCTTTGATAGAACAAAATGCCAGTAATCCCAGCACTTTGAGAGGCCGATGTGGCTGGTTCCCTTGAGCCCTGGGGTTGGAGACCAGCCTGAGCAACATGGCGAAAGCCCATCTCTACCAAGAACACAAAAATTAGCGTGGTGTGGTGGCGCACGGCTGTGGTCCCAGCTACTCTGGAGGCTGAGGTAGGAAGACCACCACTTCTCCTGCTGCCCTCCTCCCTCCCCCTTGCCTGGTTCACAAGACAGGAGAAAAGGGAGAAAGCAAAAAGTCAGAAAGAAACAGAAGATAAATAGCCAGACGACCTTGGCGCCACCACCCAGCCCCAGTGGTTAAAAACAATAATAATAATAATAATAATAATATCAACCCCTGACCTAAACTACTTATGTTACTTGTAATCTCTAGACATTGTATGAAGAAGCATTGCAAAACTTTCTATTCTGTTAGCTGATGCATGTAGCCCCAGTCACGTTCCCCACACTTGCTAGATCTATCACGACCCTTTCATGTGGATCCCTTAGAATTGTAAGCCCTTAAAAGGGCCAGGAATTTCTTTTTTGGGGAGGTCGGTTCTTGAGACGCAAGTCCACCAATGCTATGGGCCAAATAAAGCCACTTTCTTCGTCAACCCGTTGTCTGAGAGGTATTGTCTGTGGTTCATCATGCCACATTTCTTGGTTCCCTGCCTGGGAAGCGAGGTGATTAACAGAAGGTCAAGGCAGCCCCTTAGGCGGCTTAGGGCTGCCCTGTGGAGCATCCCTGTGGGGTACTCCAGCCAGCTTGAGCAACATGGACTCTGAGAGCACTCCCGGGTAGGCATGTGCCCCAGAAAGATACCTAGCCTGGCCGTCCGAACTTGCAGCGCAACCAGTGTGCTTATTGTAAAGAAATAGGATATAAGAAGGATATTAGAAGGACAAGTGCCCTCAGCTAAAAGGAAAACAAGGTGGCTCAGAGCAGGAGGCCCCAGAAGGAGGCCTGTGCAATATAGCAGAAGAGTTACTGAACTGAGGAGGACCGGGTTCAAGTGCCCCCAAAGAGCCTATGGTCAAGATGACAGTTAGGGGCAAAGACATTGATTTTCTTATCAATACTAGTGCTGAACATTCAGTAGTAACCACCTCAGTTGCCCCCTTATCCAAAAAGACTATTGATATAATCAGAGCCATGGGAGTTTCAGCAAAGCAAGCTTTCTGCTTGCCCCATAATTATACTGTAGGAGGACAAAAAGTGATTCACCAGTTCTTCTACATGCCTGACTACTCCTTGCCCTTGCTAGGAAAGGACTTGCTTAGCAAGCTGAGAGCCACCATCTCTTCTACAGAGCACGGCTCTTTACAGCTGAGGTTACCCAGAATGGGAGTCATTATGGCCCTGGGAGGAGGAATGGAGACTTTTCTTAACTGACCCAGGCCAAGAGATAAGACCAACTCTGGCTAAGCAGTGGCCAAGGGTGTAGACAGAAGACAACCCTCCAGGGTTGGCAGTTAACCAATCCCCTGTACTTATAAAAGTTCAGTGTAGGGCCAAGCCTTTCAGGCAAAAACAGTACCCGGTCCCCAGAGAAGCTCTTGAAAGTATCCAGGTCCATCTCAAGAGCCTGAGAGCCTTTAGAATTATAGTCCCTTGTCAGTCTCCATGGAACCCTCCCCTCCTGCCTGTTCCCAAGCCAGGGACCAAGTACTACAGGCCGGTACAGGACTTGCACTTAGTCAATCAAGCTACCAGTGACTTTACCATCCACAGTACCTAACCGTACACGTTGTTAAGGTTGCTTGGCCAGCTGCAGGACAGCTGTTTCCAGCTTAGGCGCTGAATAGATGCTTTCTTTAGCATTAGACTACCCCTGAGAGCCAGAGCTCTTTGCCTTTCAGTAGGAAGATCTAGGTCAGGTGTCACCACTCGGACCCAGCTCTGCAAGCGTTCAAAGAACTCCCCACCATCTTTGGGGAAGCACTGGCTCAGACCTCCAGAAGTTTCCTCACCAGAGGCCTAAGCCTGCGTGCTGCTCCCAGTACATTGACCGAATTCTGCTCGGCCACCCCCATGGCAGTCAGGGTAGCACCGAGGGGACAGATGCCCCTATTTCCAGCCCCTGGAGGACTGTAGGTATAAGGTGTCCAAGAAGCAAGTCTAATCTGCCTAACAGCAGGTATGGTACCTAGGAATTTACTACCAACAGCGGGAGCAGAGCATGGGACAGAAGTGGGTCTTTTGCAACCTACTGAACCCTAAAACCAGAAACAGGTGAAAGAATTCTTAGGAGCTCTGAGTTTCTGCAGACCGTGGATCACAAACTTTGCAGTACTTGCCAAGCCTCTGTACGGAGTCACAAATGGGTAGGACCAGGAGCCCTCTGAATGGGGATCCCAACAACGCAGGCCCTTTCATGAGTTTAAAAGAAAATCTTACGTCGGCCCCAGCCCTGGGGTTAGCTGATCTGACAAAGCCTTTTACACCATATGTTTCTGAGAGAGAAAAAATGGCAGGTAAGTTTTGACCCAAACTGTGGGGCCCTGGCTGAGGCCAGTGGCCTAACTCTCTAAATAACTAGATGGGGTTTCTAAAGGTTAGTGTTGGGGTCCCGCATGTTTCCTAAACAAAGGAATGAACATACAGACAACACAGGACAAGACATACATGGCGGCCACCCTGAACGGCACACTCTGCTTAAATTTTATACAGCCGTTTGTGGAATGTACCCAAGTCACGGGGCATGTGTTGCTTCTCTGACCTTTTCCTTGACTCGCAAGATCAGTAAAACATTGACCAGTCCCGAGCCCGCTGTTTACAGCTGGCTCCTTTGTCCTTCCTTTTTGCAGAGAAGGAATATCCTGCTTGTTTGCAAGAGCAGGGCTATTATCGGAGACATCCTCATTTGTGAGCACACAGTCCTCTACAGTTAGTCCCCCTGTTTGAGGGCCTTGGCAGCAACCGCCCTGCTAGTACAAGAAGCACAAAAACCTAACTCTTAGGCAAAACCTGAACATAAAGGCCCCCCATGCTGTGGTGACTTAATGACTACCAAAGGACATCATTGGCTAACGAATGCTAGACTAACCAAGTACCCAAAGCTTGCTCTGTGAAATCTTCTGCATAACCACTGAAGTTTGTAACACCCCTGAACCCGTCACCTTGCTCCCGGTAATCAGAGAGCCTGTTCGAGCATAACTGTGTAGAGGTGTTGGACTCAGTTTACTCGAGCAAGGCCTGACCTCCGGGACCAGCCTTGGGCATCCGTAGACTGGGAGCCATATACCATGGACAGGACCAGCTTGCGCCAACCCACAAGGAGACAGATGTGCAGGGATATGCGGTGGTAACCCTGGACACTGCCGGTTGACGCCAGAGCGTTGCCCCAGGGCACCTCAGAAAGCTGAGCTCTTTGCTTTTAATTCAGGCCTTAGAATTCAGTGGAGGTAAGACTGGAAAACTTTACACTGACTCTCAGTATGCCTTTTTAACCCTCCAAGTGCATGGAGGCCATCAATCACAAGAAAAGGGCTGTGAAATCTGGAGAAAAAGACATAAAATCTTGCAATTGAATTAGAAGCCAGTACAGAAACCCCACAAGGTGGCAGTCTCCACCCGGTTACCTTAGAGAACCCCAGAACTGACTCAGAAGCTCGAAAAGCTGGGCATCAAGTCACAGCCCCCCTGCCCCCTCAAGCACCTGAACCTTGTATCTACTTATTCTAAATAAGAAAAAGGCTTTCTCCAGGCAGAGGGAGGACAGTGATGGGAAGAAGGAAGGATCCGGTACCAAATAGGAGAGGTAGCTGTGCCACAGCTGCTAGGAGCCACAGTTGTACTGGGGTGCAGAAACCACCCATCCTAGGTCAAGGAGTCACTTGAAAAGTTGTTAGGCTGATACTTCTACATGTGGCATTTGTCAGCCCTTGCCAAAAACCATGGGCGCAGCAGTGTGTTACCTGCCGACAGCACAATGCGAGGCAGGGTTCAGCCGTTCCGCCGGCAATGGAATGGAAAGCAGCCCCCTTTCAAGTCTCCAGGTGGAATTCCCTGAAATGCCAGTGTAGAAGTAACAAGTATTTACTCGTTCCTGTGTGTACCTACTCTTAGGTAGGTGGAGGCTTTTCCCATATGAAACTGAGAAAGCTCATGAAGTACCCATTGCTTCTTCGAGATCTTATTCCTGGATTTGGACTGCCCTTTACGGATCAGCTCAGATAACAGGCCGGCGTTTGTGGCTGACTCAGTACAGAAGACGGCAAAGGTATTAAAGATCACATGGAAACTACGTGCTGCCTACCACCTCCAGAGTTCCAGAAAGGTGAAGCGGATGAATGGGACTATCAAAATAAGCTTAAGGAAAGTGTGTCAGGAAACAGGATTAAAATAGATACAGGTTCTCCCTATGGTATTGTTAAAGACTAGATGTACTCCCTCCCTCTGAGAGAAGAGGATATTCCCCTTATGAAGTATTATATCATAGACCCCCTCCCATACTACGGGGACTCCTGGGCACTCCCCCAGAGTTAGGTGAAATTGAGTTACAGAGACAGTTACAGGCCTTAGGAAAAATTACACCAAACGATTCAGCCTAGGTAAATGACAGATGCCCCGTTAGCTTATTCTCCCCAGTTCACTCTTTTTCCCCAGGTGATCGACTGTGGATCAAGGACTGGAATGTAGCCCCATTTGCGCCCACAGTGGAAAGGACCTCAGACGTCATCCTGACCACACCCACCGCCGTAAAGGTAGAAGAATCCCAGCCTGGATCCACCACTGCTGTGTAAAACCTGCATCTAAAACCTGGGAGGCAAGACCAAGCCCAGATAACCCCTGAAAGTGACCCTGAAGACGACGACAAGCCCTGCTCCAGTCACACCCGGAAGCTGACCGGTCTACACACGGGCCGAGCATGAGGAGGCTCATCACGGGACTTCATTTTTCTTAAAATTTTAGACTTGTACAGTAAAGGGCTTCAACTGACCTTCCTCAAACTAAGGACTGTTCCCAGTGTATTCATCAAGTCACTCAGATGGGACAGCAAATTAAAACAATCTTTCTGTTCTATAGTTATTATGAATGTACAGGAATGTTAAAAGGAACTTATTTGTACAATGCCACTCAGTACAAGGTATGTACCCCAGGAAATGACCAACCTAATATATGTTATCACCCATCTAAGCTCCCTGCAACCACCGTTTTATTTTATTTTTATTTTTTATTATATTACTTTTTGAAATGGAGTCTCGCTCTGTCGCCCAGGCTGGAGTGCAGTGGTGCGATCTCAGCTCACTACAACCTCCGCCTCCCGGGTTCACCCATTCTCCTGCCTCAGCCTCCCGAGTAGCTGGGACTACAGGCACCCGCCACCATGCCTGGCTAATTTTTTTGATATTTTTAGTAGAGACAGGGGTTTCATCGTGTTAGCCAGGATAGTCTTGATCTCCTGACTCGTGATCGCCCGCCTCAGCCTCCAAAGTGCTGGGATTACAGGTGTGAGCCACCGTGCCTGGCTACCATCGTTTTTCAAATAACATTAAGAACTGGTCTTTTCCTAGGTGATTCAAGTAAACTAATAACTAGAACAGAAGAAAAAGAATCCCCAAACAAGAAACTTTAAATCTGATGCTTGTGCAGCCATTAATAGTAACAAGCTAAGATTAAGATGTGGATCTCTTAACTAAGAAAGGAGCTACACAGTAGAAAATAAATATGTTTGTCATGAGGCAGAGGTGTGTGAAAATTGTGCCTATTGGCCATGTGTTATTTAGGCTACTTAGAAAAAGGACAAAAAAGACCCAGTTCACCTTCAAAAAAAAAGAGGCCAACCCCTCCTGTGCTACCGGTCACTGTAACCCACTAGAACTAATAAGCACTAATCTCCTACACTCCCATTAGAAAAAAAGAGAACGTGTAACCCTGAGGATCAACAGGACAAGGCTAAACCCCCAAGCTGCCATTTTAGTCGAGGGGAGGTCCACATGTGCTCTCCCAACCCAGTGTTTCAAGCCTTTTATAATGAGCTAAATCTGCCAGCACCAGAGCTTCCAAAAAAAAAAGGGAAGGAACTTGTTTCTGTACTTAGCAGAAAATGTAGCTCATTCCCTCACTGTTACTTCTTGTTATGTATGTGGAGGAACCACTGTCAGAGACAGATGGCCTTAGGAAGCCCGAGAGTTGGTGCCCACTGATCCAGTTCCTGACACAATTCCAGTTCAGAAAGCCCAAACTAGCAACTTCTAGGTCCTATAAACCTCAATTATTAGACAGTACTATGTAGCTAAGGAAAGAAAAAACTTCACCACCCCTGTAAGAAAGCTCAATTGTCTAGGACAGAAGTTGTACAACAGCACAACAAGGACAGTCACTTGGTGAGGCCTAAACCGTACTGAAAAGGACCCATTAAGTACATTTTCTAAATTACAGACTGCCTGGGCTCATCCAGAATTTCACTGAGACTGGACGGCCCCCGCTGGACCATACTGGATACGTAGGCACAGAGACCATCTCCAATAACAAAGAAGAAAAGGAAACACCTGGGCCCTGGCTCTGGGAATCTAAGGCCAATTAACGTAAACTTTGCAAAACTAGACCAAAGGTAAAAACCCCGTCTCCCCACCCGGAGTAACAAAGGAACAAAGGCTACTCTCCTGTAGCCCTCCCATTTCCACCACGTCTCAGATGGAAAGCGAGAGAGCCCAGGAGTGGCCACGGCCAAGCACGGCCACCCCTCCATCTGCATAGGGCACCCATCTGCTCCATCTGGGCCAATTCACCTCAGCATTTCATCGGCCAAGGGCCAGATCCTTCATCCAGATAAGGGGTAGCCCATAGGGACCTTCAAAAGGAATATTTTAATCCCCAAAACGTTGTAAACGGTGCCCTGGAGACGCTCGCTCGGGCCCACTCCCACCCTGTGGAGTGTTTTCCTGACCCCGGCACTGGGGCTGCAGCGCTGCGCTCCAGGGGCCGAGGAGAGCGAGACTGGGGGCGCTCTGGAGCAGGGCGAGAATCCAGCTTGCGGGTGAGGACTTGAAAACAGCGCGAGGCGGGAGAAGGGTCAGGAAAGATTTTTGCAAAGGAAACTTTTGCGACAGGAGGTGTCTGCACGGCCCCACTGCAGAAAGACCGGGGACGGGACCAGTCTCAGGGTGACTTTAAACTCAAAGGAAAGCAACTCACGGACTCTGACCGGGACGTTTCAATTTGCTCTGGGTTGAGAAAGACGGGCCGGAATTGCAGGTCTGTAGGGACCCCACGTCCCTCCTATAGCAGCACCAGAGAACTGGGAAGCACACGCACCGCAGTACAACTTTCAGTCCTCGCTGTCCGCTTCCGGGCCTGAGCCAATCAGCGCAGGACAGGAGCCGGACCTGGGCAAGACCCCCGAAGAGATGGGCGGGGCCTGGGCGAGGCCGGGGCGGGGCGCGAAAGACAAGGGGCCTGGCGCCGGAGAATAGAGTCTTGGGCTGTGAGGGGTCAGCGGGGGCGGGAAAGGGGCGGGGCCTGAGCTTCCCTCCATCTCGCTCTCCGTGCCTCTGTTTTCCGGGTTTTGCAGGTGAAACCCACCAGTAAGGCTGGAGCAGCTCAGCAGTCAGGGAAATAGTACGTCCCTGAGAAGTGGCGGTGTGGCGGTAATTGGATCCAGGAAAGTTCCTTGTTATTGAAATTAATTTTAGCAATTTAATTCCAAAGCCTCCAAGCTGTCTAGGGCAGGAATGCAAACTAGAATGCGAAATGCAAAGCCTTGCCTGAGCCAAACGTACAATTTGATGCTGACGGCCCACAGAACGGAATAGAAATCCTCTCCCTTTCTATTCTCCATTCACTGGAGTGGGAGAGTCCACCCTGTGCTCAGCTCCAGAGACTTCCCTAGGGCCACCGCCTGGGGTGCCGACCGGAGGGCTCAGGCCAGGGAAGAGGGAGGTCACTACCTGCTGCTTAAACACAGCAGAGATGTGAGTGCGGGAATGGGAGCTTGAGGTCCCAACTACTCAGGAAGCAGCAGCGGAAAGATGGCTGAGCTTGGGGGTCTCAGGTATTGCTCCTCACAGGAAGGTATTAGCTCCGGGGCCGGGGAGGGGGGTGGTGGCGGCGGGAGCGGGGGTGGGGTGGCGGGAAACGGGGGGGGGGGGCGGTGGGAGCTGCCCGCAGACCCTGAGCCAAACGACGAATGAATAAAATCTACACTGACACACAGTCTGCTTTGCCAGTTCTGCTGGGTGTCCGACCGCCTGCACAGCGAGAGGTTTGTCATAGCTGCCAGCTGGGAGCAGCTCACACTGCAGGCATTTATTTGGTATGCGGTTAACAACAGAGGCTTTGAGTCAACACACTTGTGGATAATTAACATGGTTAAGAGAGTAGTTCTAGGAATGATCAAATCTCAAGTACTGGGGTCTGAAGTAAATGCCATTAGGGTGCAATATCCCTGGTCAACCTCCCCTAATACTCTAAGGTAAGAACGGGCTGCCTGCAGCCTGTTCAATTATTACAAGCTATGTAATCTTTCGGCCTTCCAAAAGGTTTGTGACTATTCCCTATAACGTTCCCTAATATTTCCTGTCAGTCTTCTGAGTCCAAGCTAAGCCATCATATCCCCTGTGACCTGCACATATACATCCAGATGGCCTGAAGCAACTGAAGATCCACGAGAGAAGTGAAAATAACCACTTCCTGCGTTAACTGATGACATTCCACCATTGTGATTTGTTCCTTCTCCACCCTAACCAGTTGACTTTGTGACAATACACCCTCCCTTCCCTTGCGATATTGTAGTTCGTGATATTCCCCCGCCCTTGTGAATATACTTTGTACGATACACCCTCCCCACCCTTGAGAAGGTTCTTTGTAATATTCTCCCTGCCCTTGAGAATGTACTTTGTGAGATCCACCCCTGGCCCGCAAAAAATTGCTCTTAACTCCACCACCCATCCTAAACCTATAAGAATTAACGATAATCCCACCACCCTTTGCTGACTCCTTTCTCAGACTCAGCCTGGCCGCACCCAGGTGAAACAAACAGCCTTGTTGCTCACACATAGCCTGTTTGGTGGCCTCTTCACATGGACGTGCATGACATTTCCCTTTAATACTTCTGCCACCATCCTGAGTGAATCCCAACATCTCCCCCTTTTTTGTTTTTAAAATTAAGTTTTTTTATTGGACAGCACAGATATGTGCAGCCACAGGTTTGTTAGGCAAGGTGGTGACTGCTCTTATTCCGGCTTTGCATCCTAGAATTAGCAGCTACCATAAACCAGCAGTTTGTTAGGCCGAGGCGGTCGGATCACCTGAGATTGAGAGTTTGAGACCAGCCTGACCAACATGGAGAAACCCTGTCTTTACTGAAAATACAAAATTAGCTGGGCATGGTCTGAAATATATACAGTTCTGGAAGATATGAATAAAAGCTTAATCCAAGCTGGTCTTTAATAGGTTTGCTTCCAGAATGGCTTTGATCATATTGGTATGTACTACCAGTAAACTTTTTGATTTTTGTCATGGGTGCTTCATGGCTATTTCTTTCATTTTCTTGCCACTGAAACTCAAACTCATAAATATCTTTCTCAATTTTATGGAAACAAAAATCTCAGTTTGGCCGGGCGCGGTGGCTCAAGCCTGTAATCCCAGCACTTTGGGAGGCCGAGATGGGCGGATCACGAGGTCAGGAGATCGAGACCATCCTGGCTAACACGGTGAAACCCCGTCTCTACTAAGAAATACAAAAAATAGCCAGGCGAGGTGGCAGCGCCTGTGGTCCCAGCTACTCGGGAGGCTGAGGCAGGAGAATGGCGTGAACCCGGGAGGCGGAGCTTGCAGTGAGCTGAGATCCGGCCACTGCACTCCAGCCTGGGCTACAGAGCGAGACTCCGTCTCAAAAAAAAAAAAAAAAAAAAATCTCCAGTGCGATGACTTTCATGTCTTTGCAATGTCCCTGTGTGGAACACTTCTGTATGTTGACAAGACCTCCTTCATCATGCATTTGGAAGAGATATCTACAAAATATAAACACCAATAGGTTTCAAATTAAGTACAGATGATAAATATACTGAAATATGTAAATATGACACAAAAAATACTTATTTTAAACTTCCCAAACGTGATCTTCAAAGTTTAGGAACACAAAAGGAGTAAGATTCTATAATAAATAAAGGGCGATTACATGTCCTTCAAATCATTTCTATGGAAGTCTATTTTCAATATCATGAAAAAACACTTACAGGGCACAAACGTGTAAGCCTAAAGTCAGGAGTGTTTTCCACTGTGACCCTAAAGCGCATCACAGTTTGCAAAAAAAATAAAAAATAACTGTCACATCAATGAAGCAAACAATATATACTCTTCATATTTACAGCATATTTACTCTATACAAATAAATGCTAAAGTACCACAAAATATACTATTTTGGCAAATAATCAACAACAACCTCATGTAAGGATAATCAAAATCAATGGAAATTCTGTATTGTCAAACAATCATAGCACTGACAAGATAAGAAAAGATTACAAAAATTAGCCAGGCATGGAAGCCCGCGACAGAGGTCCCAGCTACTCAGAAGGTGGAGGCACAAGAATCACTTCCACCTGGGAGGCAGAGGCTGCAGTTAGCTGAGGTCACACCACTGCACTTCAGTCTGGACGGCAAAAATGAGGCTCCGTCTCAAAAAAAAAAAAATAAATAAAAATAAATAAATAAATAAATAAATAATAATAACCAAAGAAAACAAGAAAAAAAAATGAGAAAAAGAAAATGTTCATACCATATTTTTCTGAATAAATGTCATAAAATTATCTATATCTACACAGAGAACTCCTGACCTCTAGTGATCCACCCGCTTCCACCTCCCAAAGTCTGAGGATTATGGACAAGAGCCACAGCGCCCGGTGACACTTTGTGACATTAACGAGTGGAGTGTGTCAGTTATATTGCATACCACATACCGAAAAACCATATGTAAAATCATAAAAATCAATTAATGAAATTTTGTAACTCATGATAAAACCTGCAAACAAATAATAAGTACATTTATACAGCCTGCAGAATTCTAAACAATTCCCTCTTAAGAAAAAAGTCACAACTTCTACTTACCAGGAGCACACGACATAAAAACTGAAATACATGTCAAGACCACTACCTTCTGACGTATGAGGTCAAGAAAATACACAGCATTACAAAGTATAAGAATTGACTAACGGCCAGGCATGGTGGCTCACACCTGTAATCCCAGCACTTTGGGAGGCTGAGGCAGGCAGATCACGAGGTCAGGAGTTCGGGACCAGCCTGGCCAACATGGTGAAGCCCCATCTCTACTAAAAAATACAAAAAAATTAGCTGGACATTGTGGCAGGCACCTGTAATTTCAGCTACTCAGGAGGGTAAGGCAGAAAAAACGTTTGAACCCAGGAGGTGGAGGATGCAGTGAGCCAAGATTACATCATTGCACTCTAGCCTGGGTAACAGGGTGACCCACCAAACCTGGCCAATTTTTTGTATTTAGTAAATTTGAAGTTTTATCATGTTGGCCTGACTGGTGTCACACTCCTGACCTCAACAGATCTACCCATCATGGTATCTCAGATTGCTGGGATCTGAGGCCTGAGCAACCACGGCCAGCCAGCCTAAGCTATTTCTGACAGGACAGTGAAATGACTGAAACAGGAAAAGGAGAATGTCATCATCATCACCGAAGGTTGACAACTCTTACTACACAAAGGAAGTTTAGAGTCTGTACTATAAAAACTGCAAAATGTGAAGCCATCTAATAGCATTAATGTGTTTTAAAACCCTGAAGGCAGCTGGGTATGGTGGCTCACTCCTGTAATCTCAGCACTTTGGGAGGCCGAGAGAGGTGGATCACCTGAGGTCAGAAGTTGGAGACCAGGCTAACCAACATGGAGAAAACACCGTCTCTACTAAAAATGCAAAATTAGCCAGGCATGTAGGTGCATGCCTGTAATCCCAGCTACTTGGGAGCCTCAGGCAAGAGAATTGCTTGAACCTGGGGAGCAGAGGTTGTGGTGAGCCGAGATTGCGCCATTGCACTCCAGACTGGGCAACAAGAGTGAAACTCCGTCTCAAAAAAAAAAAAATCTGGAGGCAAATTAACATTACTTCTCAAATAAGGACACCAGGCCCACAGTGTTCATGTATATGACCTTAATTTGAACGTATGGTAGGTGAGGGACAAGACTTGATCCTAGGCCTGAATGATTCCATGACATCATCTTAAGCACAATAGTCAGCCCAGGCAGTACAGAAAATGACCAGTCACAGAAAATACAAAGAGAACAGAAAGAAGCACATCAAGGGGGATACAAGGGCTGAGCTGGGACACAAGGGCTGAGCTGTGCTGCTGACAGTGGTGCTA